CCAAAATTTTGTGGGCTTAATACGAATTATGAAGATTGGGAGAGTCAAATTAGCGCAATGCTCCGTGCTCAAAAGTGGTCGATAGAACAGCAATGTGATTTTGTATTGAGTGCATTAGGAGGAGAATCACGACGTGAAATTCTTATTCTGGAACAAGCGGAGCGGGATACGCCAGATAAAATCTTTCTTCAGCTTAAAGAACTGTATGGGGACAAAACAGCCGTGGGTACCCTGCGTGCCATGTTTTATGAATGTAGACAAAGGACAGAAGAGCCTATTAGAAAGTTCACGTTACGCTTAAGGGAGTTGGGCCATCGCCTGCAGACAAAAGAGCCACAAGGGTTTCGGCGGGCTGACCTGCACCTGCGTTATCAGTTTGTCTTGGGTCTTAGGGAGGGTGAGATACAGCGTGATCTGCGGCGTTTATTAAGGCACGATCCTGACCTCTCATTTGAACAGGTGCGTAAAGAGGCTCTGCAATTGGAAGCGGATGCGCTGTATGGCGTACATGAGGACTCCGCTTGTGCTGTAGTAAGAGGGGATTTAAAGTGGCAGGATACTCTGAATTGGAGAGATAAGTTTAAAGTGGAGATCCTTGCAGAAATGAAGGAGCAAATTATGGATCTCAAAAATACTCTTCAGGAGGAGCTGAGGGAATTTGTCCGACCAGCACCAATGCCACGGACGTTTTCAGCTCCTAGAGGTGAGCGAGAAAGGTGGAACCTTAGTTCCCCTCAATATAGGGGAGGTGTTGAAGTGTCCGAGCCACCCCCGGTGACAAAGCAAACCCCACGGTTAGTGGAGCGACCACGGCACAAGTGGGATGAGCATGGGCAGCCTATTTGTAGTAGGTGTGGAGTTAGTGGACACATGGCAAGAGAGTGTCGGGGCACTTCATCTCAGATGGCTTTAAACGAGTAAATCCAGTCGCTATGGGCCAGGTGATTGGAAAGGATGATAGTGGTCCAACTCAGTTAAACCACCCTCAATTTTTAGGGGCATGCCGTCAAGTAGAAGTATTCATTGATGGTAAAGAAGTGACATTTTTGCTGGATACTGGGTCTAATGTAACATTAATGCCACAAGCCTGTTTTAGGAGATTGTTTGGTGAACAGGAGCCGGGGAAAGAGAGTGATCTTAATTGGCTAAAGCTGAAGGCCGCGAATGGATTGGCTATTCCTTACGTGGGCTATGTGTTAGCTGAAGTACAGGTGGGAGACATTACCCTGAAAGATATGGGAATTGTGATTTCAAAGGACGACCCCAATAATTCTAATGCATTACCTATATTAGGTATGAACATCATCGTTCCATGTTGGGATGTGTTTTTTTTGAAACCTCAGACGCAGACCCAGACCTGCCCTGTTGGCTCGACTGTAGACGCTCAACAAGCGTGGGCATCTGCTTTTCAGGACTGTCAAAGAATTCAGGCAGCTGTCCCCGTACCACAAGTAGGGACCCTGCGACCCGCTTACCGCCACCCGGTGAAGATCCCTGAGCACAGTGAGCAGGTGATTTGGGCTAGGGCCCCACAGACACTGAGGAAAGGACAATGTATCTTGGTGGAGCCATTGGAAGGGCCTAGTACAGTTGCCGTTGCTCGATCGCTAGGAACTGTCTATAGAGGCCGGGTCCCCATCAAAGTAAGGAATCTCAATCCTTTTCCTATTACGTTACGACGTTATGAGGCCCTGGCTACATTCTCCACGGAAAATGTCGACATTCAGGAACCTTTTGAAGTCACGTTTGAGCAAACCAGGCCAGGCATCGTTGAAGTGGGCGTATCCCAGGTGAGCTCGGAACCATCTGGTAAAGCTCCTCACATTGAAGTTATGACACAAGGGCGGTCGAATCTATCTATGGAGGAGCAGGAAAAGTTAAATGGTCTCTTGAGGAAGTGGGGCGATGTGTTTGCTGCCGACGAAGAGGATTATGGCCACACAGATGTAATTACGCACTCTATTCCGACAGGTATGGCACCTCCTATTAGAGAGCGGTATAGGCCAATCCCCCCTAAAATGTATCAGGAAGTGCGAGAATTGCTGAATAATATGATTCGATCAGGGGTGGTGCGAGAGAGTACAAGTCCCTGGGCAGCACCCATTGTCCTGGTAAGGAAAAAGAATGGGGAATTGAGATTTTGTGTGGATTACCGCAAGTTGAATGCAGTGACACATAAAGACGCCCATCCATTACCTAGAATTGAAGAGACCTTGACGATGCTGACTAAATCAAAATACTACTCCACCCTTGATCTAGCAAGTGGGTATTGGCAAGTGAAAGTTTCTGAAGCTGACAGGGAAAAAACTGCATTTTGTACTCCTTTTGGCTTGTATGAGTTTGAAAGAATGCCTTTTGGATTGTGTAATGCTCCAGCAACATTTCAAAGGTTGATGCAGAGTTGTTTGGGAAGTCAAATCACAGAGTCCGCTTTTGTCTATCTGGATGATGTGATAGTATATTCACCGGATTTTGACAGCCACCTAGAACATCTGCAGGCAGTGTTTGCAAGATTGAAGAGCTATGGGCTGAAGTTGGACCTGATAAATGTGTTCTTTTCCAGCAACAGGTGAAGTTCCTGGGTCACCTGGTGAACAGTGAGGGTGTGGCTCCGGACCCTGATAAGATTGCCGCTGTACAGAAGTGGCCGGCCCCGCAGACTATTCATCAGGTGCGTTCCTTCTTGGGCTTTGCCGGTTATTATCGGCGGTTCATTGCAGGGTTTGCGGGTGTTGCTAGGCCTCTTAACTCGCTGCTAGTGGGAGTACCGAAGAATAAAAAACAGAATATCCCCATAAATTGGGATGAGGATTGTCAGCAGTCCTTTGATCTTCTGAAGCAGAAATTGCTCGAGGCTCCTATTTTAGCTTTTGCTGATTTCAGATTACCCTTCCGGCTTTATACGGATGCCAGTAAAGTGGGCCTTGGTGCAGTACTGTCTCAAGTACAAGATGGGAAGGAATGTGTGATAGCCTATGCTAGCAGAAGCTTAGCACCCGCCGAAAGGGATGATGCAAACTATAGCTCCTTTAAACTGGAGCTGCTCGCTTTGAAGTGGGCGGTGACTGAGAAATTTAAAGATTATCTATGGGGGTCTCTGTTCACAGTTTATACTGATAATAATCCATTGGTCCATTTATCGACTGCAAAAGTGGGCGCAGTGGAACAACGGTGGGTAGCCCAGCTCGCAAATTATCAATTTGATATTAAGTATCGGCCTGGCCAGGAAAATGTGAATGCTGATGTTCTGTCTAGAATGCCATTGCAGGTGCAACCCCAGGATTTGGTGCCTCCACAGAGGGTGGACGAAAAAGCATGGGTTCAGGCTGTGAACATCGATTGGGATCCAGGATGCTGGCAAGGCTTACAAGAGCAGGACCCCACGCTGCATAGAGTGAGATACTACATGGCCCGAGGAAAGATGCCATCTGGGGAGGAAAGACGCCAGGAGCCTACTGCAGTCTTAAACTACATGAAACAATGGTCACGGCTGGAGTTGTTGGAGGGTGTTCTGGTCCGCAGGGGGGTGGATTCCAACACCTGTGAGGCGTACTACCAAATCCTTGTTCCTTTGGAGGAACAGCAACCAACATGGAAGGCTTTCCATGAAAGGAATGGTCATTTGGGGGTGGCAAAGACACTTTCGATGCTGCGCCGTAGTTTTTATTGGCTTCAAATGGAGAAGAGAGTGCGGGACTGGACAACATCCTGTGAACGGTGTGTACGTCATAAAGGTCGTGGTGACGGTCAGGCCCCACTTAGTCCTGTTCTTACACACGCACCTCTCCAAACCGTGGCAGTTGATTTCCTGACATTAGGTAGACCGGCAGACTCATACCAGTACATTTTGGTCGCCACTGATTTGTTTACAAAGTATGCTTGGGCAATACCTACCAGGGACCAGACCGCTGCAACTACAGCGAAGATGTTGTTGAAACATATTATTCAGCCAATTGGATGCCCAGAACAACTGCACTCGGATCAAGGTGCTAATTTCGAGTCCGCCCTCATAAAGGAGCTCTGTCAGTATTATAATTGTCGGAAAAGTCGAACTACTGCCTATCATCCTCAGGGAAATGGGGCCTGTGAACGTTTCAATCAGACATTAATAAATATGCTGTCCACCCTAGAGGAAGAGAGGCGGACTCGGTGGGTACAATGTTTGCCCGAACTGCTCCAGGCTTATAATAACTCTGTCCATGCGTCTACAGGTTACACCCCCCATTACCTGATGTTTGGATGGAATGCTCGTCTGCCAGGCGAGCTGTTTATGGGGACGAAGAGACCCATGGAGTCAACCACGACGCAGGAGTGGGTGAGGAGACATCATGAGCGCTTGAGGCTGGCATACCAGATGGTGGAAAAGAGCAGCCAGAAGGCTGCAGGCCGGATGAAGGACAGGTATGATGTTGGGGCTAGGGCAGCACCATTGCTCCCGGGGGAAAGGGTTCTAGTCCATACGACAAGAAGGGACGGACAGGGTAAACTGGCAGCACACTGGGAGGAAGAGATCCAAATTGTAGTTGGCCAGCCAAACCCTATGAACCCAGTCTACAGAGTTCGGCCAGAAGGTAAAGATGGGCCTGTTAGAGTGGTCCATCGTAATCGCCTGCGCATATGTACCTTCTTGCCTTCCGTCAATGATAAAACAGGAGGTGGCGCCTTAGAACCAGGAACGGCAGCTGCGCATGATATAGCGACAGCCTCAGACCAGTGGTTACTTCTATGGAGTATGGCACAGCAGATGCCAGGGCCAGGTCACTATCCGTCCTCCAACAAGTCCGCCCCTGCAACTCAGGAGGGTTTAAGGAGATCTGCCCGTGAAAATCTCGGGAAGCCCCCACCTCGATATACTTAGTAGAGTGCCCGAGGACGGGCTAGGAAAAAGTTGGGGTGGGTGTTACAGAGTATAGCATGGTGGGAAAGGACGGAGAGAAACCCCCCCCCTAAGTTTTGTTGGTTTTGTTTTTGAGTTTGTTTTGGATTAATTGCATGTTTTTGTGTTTATTTACGGTTGTTGCACCTGTGTGGGAGGGGAGATTTTACTCTAGCCCAGCTGCCAGTGAGGCGGAGTTGAATACAGGGAGCGGCTGATTGGAGTTCCTCTTTATAAAGGGGAGAGGAAGCAGGAAGTGTTGTTGTTGTTTTTAGTAGGACCTCGGTGAAGCAGGAGAGCCCCGGAGATCCAGGACAAAGTGTGCGCATTTTTAATAGAAAGGATTTTTTTTTAGCCTGGCCTGGTTTTTGCTTTTAACGAAACGGAGGACGTGGAAAGGAGGACGTATTCCTATGGAGCTGTGAGAGGACGTGCTGGAAAAGAGAGGACGTGCTGGAAAAAAAAGGGACGTGTTGGAAAAGAGGAAAACGAGCACTAGACTGGAGACCTCCTGCGCCCCGATAAGAAGAACTGGACCAGCTCGGGGAAGTTTAACTGCCGGGAGGTAATGTGGAGACCCAGCCTCGAACAAAGTTAAAGCCTGAAAAGGTGGGTGGCAAACCTGTTTTAGGGAGCTGCAGGATTGATACGGTTGGTTGCGTGTTCGTGCAGTGACCCTCTCTCCCCTGTTTGTAACTAGGCGAAGAACTCGGGCCGCGGTGGTCTTTGGGCTTTGGATCCCTGGCCGGGGTTGTCTTCAGCCGGTAGTTTGCCTAGAGGAAGAACAAATAAATTTTGTGTAACCCATTGCAGTGTGTGCGTGGTGGTTTGTTGCTGGTCCCTACTAGAATTCCTATTCTTTTTGCACGGAGGCTCTCTTAACAGACCTCCCGTAACAATAGTTCTTGTTTATTTAGATTCCTTTGTGTCATCACTCCCTGTGTTAAGTCTCCCTTGTTGGTTAGTGTGTCTAACCTGTCATGTTTCATGTCTGTGTGGTTTATGTTGTCAAGTTCGTTTCAAATCAAATCAAATCACTTTTATTGTCACATCACATGTGCAGGTACATTGGTACAGCACATGCGAGTGAAATTCTTGTGTGCGAGCTTCACAAGCAACAGAGTTGTGCAAAATACAATAACATAAACAGGCAAAATATACGAATGGCTAAATCTGAAACTAATAAATATATGTACAATATAGAATAGTATATGCAAAAAAATAAATAAATTTCTGGATGTGTATACTAAATGTTTTTCTACATGTGTGTGTATACACATATTTTACAAATTAAATAGAGTCAACAATAAATAAAATATATAAAAGTATACAGAGTTGAAACATGTGCAAAACAATGGCATTACTGTACAGTATGGAGTGCATAATGTTAAAGTTCCAGTAGTGAAGCTGAGGTGTCTATGACGTGTTCAGCAGTCTGATGGCCTGATGGAAGAAGCTGTCTCTCAGTCTGCTGGTTCGGGACCGGATGCTGCAGAACCTCCTTCCTGATGGAAGTAGTCTGAACAGTTTATGGCTGGGGTGACTGGAGTCCTTGATGATCCTCCCGGCTTTCCTCAGGCACCGCTTCCTGTAGATGTCTTGGAGGGAGGGAAGCTCACCTCCAATTATCCGTTCAGAGCACCGCACTACTCGCTGGAGAGCTTTGCGGTTGTAGGCGGTGCTGTTGCCATACCAGGTGGTGATGCATCCAGTGAGGATGCTCTCAATGGCACAGTGATAGAAGGTCCTGAGGATGCGGGGGTTCATGCCGAATCTTTTCAGTCTCCTGAGAAAGAAGAGGCGCTGTTGCGCCTTCTTCACTGTTTTGTTTGTGTGTACTGACCACGTCAGATCCTCAGCCAGATGTACACCAAGGAACCGGAAGCTGCTCAGTCTCTCCACAGCAGCGCCGTTGATGGTGATGGGGGTGTGTACTTCTCTGCACCTCTGGAAGTCCACTATCAACTCCTTTGTCTTTGTGACGTTGAGGGTGAGATGGTTGTCTTGACACCAGTGGGTCAGGGCGCTGACCTCCTCCCTGTAAGCCGTCTCATCACAGTTGGTGATAAGACCAACCACTGTAGTGTCGTCCGCAAACTTCACAATGATGTTGGAGTTGTTAGTGGCTGTGCAGTCGTAGGTGTAGAGTGAGTACAGGAGAGGGCTCAGTACACACCCCTGTGGAGCACCAGTGTTCAGTGTGATGGGGGATGAGGTGATGCTGCCCAGTCTGACCACTTGGCGTCTGTCAGACAGGAAGCTATCTGTGTCCCCTCATCTTTCCTGTTTATTTTGAAAGTCTTGTTTCCATGTTCTGTGTACTTAGCTTACACTTTCCTTGTTGTGTCATTATGATCTATTGTGTCAGCTCTTTCCTCATGTGTTTCCACTTCAGCTGATCACCCCGTGTGTGTATTTAGTCTGTGTGTTTCCATTCAGTCATTGTCAGGTCGTCTGTTGTACTCCCCCCTAGTCATGTCAGTTTCTAGTGTATTTAGGGCATGTTCATGTTTCAAGTCTTGGTTTTTCCTCACAGTTTCTATCATGCCCCTGCTCACTACCATTTTAAGGTCAGGTATCATAGTTGCCATAGTCTAGTCTCGCCCAATTTAGGTTTAGTTTTAGTTCTCGCCACTGTTGATTTTACCTTATTGTATGTTCATGTTTTTCATCAGCCACAATAAACGGCTCACTTTTAGTTTACCACAGTTTTGTCTTCCTCCATGTCCTGCTTTTACATCTACTTCATCACCGGTGTACCCTGTAGTGACAAAATCCTTGCTTCATAGATTGCCTGTATTCAGTTTTGGGGAGTAACGGAATACATGTACTGACGTTACGTATTTAAAATACAAAATATGAGTAACTGTATTCCGTTACAGTTACCATTTAAAAAGGTAGTATTCAGAATACAGTTACTTTGTTGAGATAAATGGATTACACGGCGGTACTTTCCTGTTTCATTTTGTCGTGGGTCAGGACTGTTTGGGTTTTGTTTGACAGCTACGTTCTGTTGTTCCAGGCGGCAGCGTTATGGTTGCCATGGTTACAGGGCGATGCTCTCTCTCTCTCTGTGACTGTGTGTTTCCTGGGTGAGAGAGCGCCTTTTCGTTGTTGTTGTTGTTGTGCTAAGCTAACAGGCAGAATTCTACAAGCATAGCTGTAAAGAATGTAGCATCATGGGCAGTGTAGTCCGTGCTGCAGGGAGAATGGACTGCCATACACGTTATGTGTCTGTGAGCGCGAGGAGGGAGAGAAAGGGGAGTGGAAAGGTACGAGTTGTCATCGAGCAAAAACGGGAGCTGGAAGCATGTAAATATAATAATAACCACTGCAGCCAAGAAGAGTGCCTGACGAGCACAGTTGTAAGTAAGCTATTAAGACTCGACTGTACACCGTGTTCGTGTTTTCCTCCGAAAACAATAAGTTCCGTTGGAGCAGCCTTTCGACGCCTCTCTCTGTCTCTCGCAAGAAAAGTTGACCCACACAACAAAGTAAAGCTATTTTTCGGCTACGAGCCGACAGGGACCCGCCGTATTAGTCAGAGGTCCCTTTATTACAGTTCGGAGTCGCGGACCTTCAGTAATAGTAATAAATCACACAGCAATAGTACATTCACGTTGTTGTAAAAAGCATGATAATATATTAAGTAATCCAAAGTATTCAGAATACGTTACTGTCATTGAGTAACGTAACGGAATACGTTACAGAATACATTTTGGGGCATGTAATCAGTATTCTGTAATGGAATACATTTTAAAAGTAACCTTCCCAACACTGCCTGTATTACATAGATGTAATTAAATGACAGGTAGGTAAGGAGAGAGGAGTAAGGTAAGTGTCTTCCTTTGTTAAAACACAGTGATGTGCATAAAGTGTTGCAAAGCAACAAGTATATTTACAGGATCTGTTGTGCATCACAATACTGTAATATAACCAGATCATCCACTTCTGTCACTTACGACAAGTTTTGTCTATGTCCTTCATCATATAGTGCGGAAAAATGCACACACATGTATTCAACTCCTGTTGAATACATCACCTTGGTCCACAGCCAGACCTCTGTGGCACATAGTTTCAGGTATTAAAGTGCTAGAATTTCAATGAACATAGACCACAATTCCAAGATGGCGGCGCGTGAACAACGCGAGGCTCAGTGTCTCTCCAGAATCTGCTATTTAGCGGTTTTTTATCTACTTTTAACCGGATTATTCGTCCAGAATTGCTGTGCGTTCCTAACCTACAGCAGACAAGAGCTTCTGGACATCTGGACTCATAACTCTAACAGTTTTATCGCCGATCTCCGACTCATCCCAGAGATCTCCAGAACACCGGAGGCTGCCCACTCTACCCGGCCGGGCGGAAGTGCACGCAGACGGCGCCGAGATCGTAAACAAAGGCGAGGTAGGCGCGGAGGGCTACGGGCTAAGCTAAAGCTAACACCACACCGGCTGCCTTTACCCAGTATTTTCCTCGCCAATGTCCGTTCTCTGGCAAACAAAATGGATGAGATACGGCTCTCCATCACTAACAACAGACAGATTATGGACTCAAATGTCATGTTTTTCACCGAAACATGGTTGAACAACAGCTGCCCGGACAATGCTATCGAGTTAGCAGGACGCCACACACACCGAGCCGACAGGCTAGCAGATGACTCCGGCAAGACCAGAGGTGGAGGTTTGTGCATTTATATTAACAATGCTTGGTGCATGAACTCCACTACTACTGAGAGTCACTGCTCACCTAATGCGGAGTTTTTAATGGTCAAATGCAGACCTTATTATCTCCCCAGAGAACTCACTTCGATCATACTCACTGCCGTGTATATACCCCCCGACGCTAATGCTAGGTTGGCCATGAAAGAACTTTCTGCAGCCATTAACAAACACCAGAATAAACACCCCGAGGCTGCTTTTATTGTTGCTGGCGACTTCAACCACACCAACTTAAAGACAGTCCTTCCCAGATTCCACCAACATGTCTCCTGCCACACCAGAGGAGACAAGACTTTAGACCATGTGTATTCCAACCTGGCTGGAGCCTACAAAGCCACACCCCTCCCCCACATTGGACAATCGGACCATCTCTCCCTGTTCCTTACACCTAGGTATTCACCACTCATCCAACGTGTGAAACCTGTTGTGAGGACAATTAAAGTGTGGCCAGAGGGGACAGAGGCAGTGCTCCAGGACAGATTTAAAAACACAGACTGGAATATGTTCACCCACACAGACCTGGACCAGTACGCCTCATCTGTACTGGATTACATCTCCGAAACCACAGACAGTGTCACCACCCAGAAACGGATCACCATGTACCCCAACCAGAAGCCTTGGATGAACCGGGATGTTCGTCTCCTCCTGAAGGCCCGCAACACCGCCTTTAGGTCAGGAGATGCACACGCCTACAGTACAGCCAGGGCTAATCTAAAGAAGGGCATCAAAAAGCCAAACACCATTACAAAAAGAAGGTAGAAGAACACTTCTCCAACTCCAACCCCCGACGCATGTGGCAAGGACTCCAGACCATTACAGACTACAGGACCACCAAACCCTCCCCCGCATCCTCTGATGTCTCCTTTCTCAACGAGCTCAACAACTTTTATGCTCGTTTTGAGCGAGGGAACCCCACAACCACAACCAAAGCAGACGTGACGCCAGACCACCAACCTCTGACTCTCTCCCCCACCGATGTAGGAGCGGTGCTGAGCAGGATCAATGTCCACAAGGCTGCAGGTCCCGATGGCATCCCCGGGCGTGTTCTCAGAGCGTGTTCTGAGGAGCTTGCAGGAGTGCTGACAGACA